TTCTATAAAGTTCTTGTAAAACTCCGCTGTATACCCATCCAGTCCTGGGCTTTTCTTGGTTGGTAGTCTTTTGATGGCTTCTTCTATTTCCTCACTTGATATTGGTCTGTTTAGGTTGTTTATATCTTCCTGACTCAATCTGGGTAGTTCATATGTATTAAGGAATTTATTAATGCCTTCACTATCTTTTGCTTTCTGGTCACCATGAGGTAAATAGGCATCCTATGCCACATGCACCCACTATGTGTATTGCCTTGTCAAAGCCCAAAAGCAACTGGACCAAGCCACCATGGGTGGAAACCATGAGCCAAAATAAACCTTTTCTGCTTTTAAGTTGATTATTTCAGATATTTTGTTATAGTAACAGAAAGCTGAAAACACATTACTCAATTTCTTCATGCCTTGCTTTCTTATCAGTAAAACAAAGATAATAAGTCAAGCGTGGTGGTGCATACCTGTAATTCCAGCAGCTTGGGAGGCTGAGACAGGAGGATCATGAGTTTAAAGCCAGCCTCAGCAATGGTGAGGCCCTAAGCAACTCAGTGAGACCCTGTTTCTAAATAAAATACAAAATAGGGATGGAGATGTAGCTCAGTGCCTCTGGATTCAGTCCCTGGTACCAAAAAAAAAGAATAGTACCTCACAGGATTGTTGAAGAAAGGTAATTATCAAGAAAGGTGATACACATGCAATGCTTGGTCCCTGAGTATTCAATAAACATGAGTTATTATTTATTTGTAATGCCTTTCTCAGGTCAGTCTTATTGGAACTTTGCCTTTACCCACACCTGGGAGAAGAAGAAAGGGATCTGGATAGTGAAAAGTTCCCATGGTAACTCCCGAGTCAGTTGAGTTTATTGACATAAGTTTCTATGTGAATGGAGTTGAGCAATATGAATACAGTTGGGTTTCACATACATTTTAGGCAGGGCTGATATTTAGTTGGTTTCCCAGGTATGACCTCACCTGTGTGTCAGCCAGCATCCACTCTGATTGGTTGCATCATCTGCTCTGAATTGTCATATCATCATTATGATTAGTTGCAATACCCATTGTAATTGGTTGCTGCCTGTACTGGTTATTACACCTCAACCCGGAAGAGAGGTTATACATAAAAAATCAATATAAAGAAATCCCTCTTCAATAACTGCCAACTGTGCATGGTGTACTTTTTTGGTCTTTTGTGGCTCCCCAAATAATAATCTGAGTCTTATATTT